CGACACCCATTTTGTGGTAGTTTTTTATTTTCCAGAAACTAACCCTGATTGCTAGACAGAATAACAATCAGAGAATAAAACTGGATATTCATTGCTATTTCATTAATTCAATCAACTGAAATCATTCGCGGAAAATACTGTTATTATGCCATTATAACAAATGTTGTTATTAGGGAAGAAGGATTTGTCATTTTAAATTGAATTAAAAATTGTAAGAATTAATGCCGAATTAATCTATTCTTCTCAACAAGAGAAAAATTCTTACGTAGGCCTATAGGTGTTACCATTAATCACTCATCTCAAAATATAAGAATAGCAATGAATAAAATATGAACTGTTTACATTTTCAAAATAACAAAATATTTTCACGTTAAACTTACAACGCATGAAATATATAGTTATAAAATACATTATAATTAATTATAATACACAATACTAATAAAATAATAATATAATAATATTTAATTACATGCAAGAAGCGTTCAATTAGCAATTCCTGCGTATATATACAAGCTCAGTGGAAAGGTATCAAACTGAAATTAAAACATGTAAAAAATTTAATATTTGTAATTTAATTAACACAGTTCCGTAGTCCCCTTTGTGTTTGATACAGGTGCGCCAATTATCAAACTAATCTCTAGAAATCTTCAAGGTGTTCTCGGAACTATTTTCTTACAGCAACTTGAACATCGTCTCAGGTGAAACGAATTCCTTTGAACTGTCTCTTGAGAGTGAAAAGCAATTAAAAATCTGAGAGTGCCAAATCTGACATGTACGGAGGTTGTCAGAAACTTCAAATCCGAGAATCTTTATGGCTTCTGCTGTGAAAGCGGTGGGATGTTGCGGAAATCATTGGCTTTGTTCAGACTTCCAGCACCATAAACTGTCAGTAAAATTTTTTTGGAGACTCATTTTCATGTGGTCGTTGTTTTACACGTGCCAACACAGTTGAAAAAGAATCATTCATTTTAAACACAATTAAAGTTAAACCATAATCAATATATATAATAAAGGTAAGTGTACAATGTGCGTGCCGCTAACACTGAAAAACGAGTCCCACTACGATCAAGGGAGTTATATGGTGTGGTAGCCCTCTATCCCCCATCCATGAACAATGTTCCCGTGATCCTTTGTCTGACGGGTATTTTCTTGTTCATACATGTCAACTGTGCGGTCATCCGATTTATATAAATTGTTCTGTGTTGAGGGTTCCGACCATACGCTAGACAAGTGATTTAGAGCGATTCTAGAAGCCGATAAAGAAAGAATGATATACTCAAGGGCGTGCTCTTAAAGATAAAAGGGCTGGAAGTTTCGCCCTCTATAAATTTCTAGCACAGTCCAGAACATTAGAGAGTGTACGAGATTCATTCCAGATCATTGTGGAACATTCCAGAACACTCTCGAATGTTGTGGAATGTTCTGGTACATTGTGGACAATTTGTAGCCTTTTTTGTAAGTGTGAGTAGTCAAAGTGATATAGTGACTGAATATAAATCGAAAATAAAGTGTGAAAACTATGTGAAGTGTACTTAGGGTATTTGTTAATAAAAAGTTGATTTGATTTATATTTTATACAATGCCCTAACTTAAAAGAAAAAAGCTCTTGCCAGTTCTGAATTTTCTTTTAAATATTAAAGTTGATATCGTCGACAATATTATTTTTAGTTGCCAAAATTGCCCTTTGAAATAGCCACTTCGAATAACAATAAGAAGCGCAGAGCCCAAACGGTTAGGAGTTGAAATTTGGTACACAGTTAGGGTGCGTCATGAGAACGTACACTAAGAAGGGATTTTTCGAAATTCCCCTCGCAGGGAGAAATAGTTAACACTTCCCTCCGGGGGAAGTGTTAACAATGGAAGTGGTTAAGTAACATTTGAAGTGTTAAGAGAAAGCGACGTGCAAGATTTACAGGCGCAGATGCGGTTTTTTGCGTTTTTGCGAGAAATCGAACATATTTTTAGACCCATCTAAAAATGTTCCAATTAGTCTGGAAACAGGTCAAACTAATTCCTGCATTCTGAGAAAACGGGTAAGATTGGCTATAATGTAATAATCTTAATCTTCGCTATCGTTACTTTTTGCCCGAGCAACGCCGGGCTTATCTGCTAGTTTATTATAAATTAAACATGCTATTATAATTTTTTAAATGCATTATCTTTATAAGAATTTAATCACAAATTTAAATAATAAATTTATTTCATTGTTAAATAAATAAAATAATTACGGCATAATATTAAAACCCATATGCAAAATTTACAATTTTAATTATAAATGATTAAAACTGTAGTATATTTGTAAAATTCTACAAATAAAGTTTTAAATAATATCATTATGTCTCTTTACAATTAAATTCTAAATTATTCGATTTAAAATCTATTAAGCCACTAAATATAGAAATGTTTTTATATACAAATAATTAAAACTTACGAGAATGGCCCACCAGTGGCTAAGCGGTTTTGTTCCCTGAACACTAGAAGTTCGGTTGTGAGCTTCGGACCTCGCCAGGATAGCTGTCCAAGTGGAGTTTTTTTAGAAATTTCTCCACGTCTGTAATGCTTAAAAAGGAACAAGCTATCCTTAAAAGACCTCCCGAAAGGCATTTCCCCAGCTCCCCCATTCGCAGGTAATTTCGTATGGTCATAAGAAAAATAAAAGCTTAGGAGGATAAGAAAATACGCAATAATCTCCATGTGAGGATCCGAATTCGGATGTGTTTATATCATTTCACATTGTAGCTATACTTTCGTTTAATAACTGTCAACTTTTACACCTGGGAGCCAAACATCTGCTATTGTTCTCAAACTTAATAACGACGCTTTCTCAGCACCTTTCGACCTAATATCTCCGTTTCAACAATCCAACACAAAAAACAGACAACAAAAAGTGAGGCAGTCGTCACCAGTTCCTCGATCGGACCACTCGAGTTTTCCCTGTGCCACGCCTTTGGATATTTCTCCGCCTTTGGATACCTCCTCGCCTAATAACTGTGAAAATAAGAACTGTCGTCCAGAACTGTCTTTTGTGATTTCATACAAGGTAATTATCGCCACACGAACTTTTGTAAACTCTCTCTCAAATCGGGGAAAAACGTAATATCTTAATATCGAATACTTATCACATTGAGAAATGTATCTAACCGCAGCCCTAATGTATAGCCTATCGTTAACCATTAAACAGTTGTTACGTTAAAGCGTCTATGAGTAGGTCACTTCCGGTGCGGAAGTGATACGGCTTCTATCTGGACTCTGATCGCTCACACACGCAACCGCTCACGCCCGAACGAAACGGTTTCAGTGTCTAGCCGTGAAGACACAGTGGTGTCAGTCCTGACGAAACCTGTCCTTGCGATCTTCGCCGACGCGATGTCGACCCTTCGGTCACGTGGTGCCGAAGTAGAGGAAGGCCCTTCGGCATTGTCACACTCCATATTAATCCCGATACTGGATAGATAAACTTACAAGAATTGTTTTTCATTACATAAATACAGAGAAAGCAATTTCGAATTTGAGCATTAACCATTCTTAAATATGAAAGATAATTTATTATACAAATATAATTTATTTTTTATGTTATATAGCATTGCATTATGCTAGATAATCATAAAAAAACACAATATAGATGCTTTATGTTTATGTGAAATAAAGTTTTATTTAAATTATGACAAATATAAACATTGATTATATTATTATATATATTATTACTATTATTATATTTTTATTATGTAAACTATTATAATATTTTAAATCATGATTTAGTGTTTTTTGATATAAATCGACATTTGAAAGTAATAATTTTGTACATCTCGAGATACTATCAAATAATTACAGTTAAAAACTTAATATAATTCGTTAAAAACTCAATAGTTTTCTATCACAGTGTTAATCCAGGATTGATAATGACTAACTCGCGCAAATACATCAGGCACATCAGGTACCGCACATCCAACACCCCAAGAAGTTATGCCAACTTGGTACCATTTTCCATTTTTCTTACATTGTAAAGGACCACCCGAGTCTCCCTATAAACAATTAAATAATGTAAATAGTATCAAGAACTAGATGTCTAAATGTTAAATATCTTACGTTGCAAACACCTATTTTTCCACGACCAGCACAAATCATTCCTTGTGTCACATTCTGGTAATACCTGGCAAGTAACTTCTTACAGGTTTCTTGTTCAATAATCGGAAGTGATACTACTTGAAGTAAATTTGATTCTTCTCCCTCTTTAAAAATCAAACTAAGATCAAGTAATATTGTTTTACAGTGTAAGAAATGCAGTAAACACATAAAGCTTACTTACCAGGATAGAGACTTCCCCAGCCTGTTGCTACACAGAATCTATTATCTACAGTAAAGTTCTCATCAGCTAAACAAATTGGGGTGATATGTGAATGATTTCCTTCAAAATCTATTGGTTTAGATAATTTTAATAGAGCAATATCATTTTTCATAGTATCTATATTGAAATCAGGATGAACAACGTACTGAAAAGGGATTAAAGTATATTATACATACAATTCAAGTATTTAATTATACCACCAAAGTATCATACTTTGCTGATATTACGAAGAATTGCTCCATCTTCTCGCTTGCTCACATCAAATTTTCCTAACCAGATTACATAAAATTCAGGCGTGGAAACGCTGAATAATAATTCGTTAAGATTATATCATTTATAAAAATAATAACAAATTATATTAAAATAAAATGTACTCTTCTAGGCAATGAGCTGCCGTAAGAATCCAATTTTCATTGATAATTGTCCCACCACATTTGGTTTTGTGCCTAAACTGACCACTAATTTGTATCTGCCATGGCCAGTCTCCCGGAGAACTCGAACTTCCTCCCACAATGCGTATCATTTGTTCTATAGAAACACCACACTCTTTTAAGGCTAAAAATATATTTTAACATTTATAAAATTAGCCATTTCGTATGTGAATTATTTTAAATTACAATAAATACACTTACCATCATTTCTATGTATGAAGAAACAAATTAATATGATTGATGTATAATAATGCATTTTCTACAGGTAAATCTGTGAAATTTTAAAATCTTTTTATATATAAAGGAAAATTGCGAGATCGTTTATTTAATTTATTGAATTCAAGATAATTACAAAATAATAACTGGAAGGATAAACAACTTTCTCTTGTAGTTGTTTAAGTATCCAGGTATCAGTCGGTTTTTTTGAAATTGGTAAATATAAATATAACGGTAATATTCATTTAAATGCATCACTACAATGTGTGTATATGTACTTACAACTAATTCAAATTATTTTATAATTTCTTATACGAAATTTTGAATAAAATAATGTAGTAAAGCATTGTTCTAAATACATTAATTGCTTCCATTTCATTAAATCATTTTTTTAAGTTTAAGAACTAAGTTCAAGAAGTTTAAAAATACTGAAATGTTTTAAGTTACAAAGAATGCTTTTACAAGTATACTTAAAACGAATATAATATTTAAAAAGTATATATTCGAGGTTAATCATATTTTGTTAGGAGGTAAAAAATAAGATATTTGGCAGATATAATCTTTAAAAAAAGCAGTAAAAATACCTGAAGGATTACGCAAGTTCTTGGATGCTTTTAGTTGGAGCCAATCGGATCGTGTAAAACCATTAAAATACTTAAAATATAAAAGCCGATCGCATTTAATGCGTTATATAAAAGAAGAGGGCCCCAGTCCGAAACTAATGATAA